GGGCGGGGGCATCAGCGGCGGCGGCGGCGGCGGCGGCGGCGGCGTTGGCTTCAGCAACATTGGCGGCAACCCGACGAGCGCCATTAAGTATGCTACACGTTGCGCAGTCAGTGCAATGTTGTCGCCGGCGACCACAGAAACAGAGCCAACTATAAATCTATCATGTTTACGCTGAGCTTGACGAGCAAGCTCCCGCAGATTCTCAGATGCCCAGACAGGAAAGATGGCCAAAACCCATACTCCGATGCCCGAAAGCGACTACAACAGTTGAGCACAATTTGTTTATGCAAGTCGAGGCTGTGAGCGAGTAAACGTTGCTTGAATTATGGCTTTGTTTATCCCAAGTCGCACACAAAGAAGAAAAATAAAAATGCCATGCCCCGCAGCCCTAACACACACCCGCACTCAGGGGTACCAAGTTTTCGCCAACGCCAACGAAAAACTTTGCCACACATTGCAACTTGGTGAGTTTCCCTCTGAAGATGGGGCGTGATATGTTATGGCATCATAACAATTGATTTTATTTGCCCTGCTTATTGATATCGTGTGTTATTCCTTTTTCACTAGTATGATCGACCCAAGAGCAAAGAATAGAAAGAAAAAAAAACAGCACGTCTTATCGTAATTGCGACAAACTTGGGTTTTATGAGGGTGACTGACATTCTCCTAAAATAGTTTCCTTAAATGTTATCATATCAATTTTTCAATATATCATATGTCTTAAGACAGATTACGAATAAAATACGAGTTAAGATAAAATATATATATATATCACAGTTTAAATGGAGTTTAAATGCATTTGAAAAAACAGAATTGTGTTCCTCACAATATTCAAATTTTTGTTAGCTAGTGTAATCTTCCTTATTTATTTTGTTCATCTCCAATAAATTTTCATTTGCCGTGTTAACACTTTTATTGGCAGCGTATTTTCATATTATATTCATTTATAAACTTGTTGCACGCTAATATAATGTTGACATAAACCCGCAATCTCTATCGACATTTACCCATCCTTCGCCCAGCCACAAGGAACAAACTTCTTAGGTTATTGATTTCGTAGCCTTTCGCAAATACTTTGACACTTGGAACTGGCACTTTGACAAGCCGCAAAAGTTCATTTGGTATATTTATGAAAATGTTTTTGACACGTTTTTAATAAGGTTGTTCACGTTCTTGTTCCTGTTGTTTATTTTTTATTTTCACCTTTTTGTTGCTGTTGTTGTCGTTGTTGTTGCGGCTTGTTTACCTGAGGTTCGTGCAACATCGTGCAACGCCTGCTTTTGACAATTTGTGTTGTTAATTTAATTAAATGCGGCGTTCATGGGCGTTACGATTGGCGCTCCACAGAGGCCACTTGTCGGTGTGGCAGCCAGCTTGTGCTTTCGGAGCTTCGCAAAAAGTTTATAAACTCCCAAACGTAGCCAAATGAGCAGCAATCAGCGGGTTTGAGGTACAAACGTGTCAAGAACAACGAAAGCGACTGGCTTGTTAATTAAGAAGAAAGCTCTGCTTAAAATATACTTATTTTTATGAAATATTTACATTTATTGGGACAAGTAAAAAGCTGCAACCCGTATACAAAACTTTCAGCTGTAGCTCAAACTAAGAACTAATATCAATAAATTACTTCGAATGAGAAAGTAAAAGACCCCCGTTTTATCGACAGCTTTAATTGCTTGTCTCAATCATTTTCCTGCCTGAACTGAAAATACCAAATTGAGGTTGATGCTCAGTAATTTTCAATTAAATCGGGCAAGTGGCAATGCTTTGATTTCGTATATGCATCAATCCAAAAATCGTTGCAGAGACTTTTAGCAGAGTTACAGAGACAGACACTGTACCCAAATGACCTGAAAAGCCAATCAATATAAATAAACTTTGAACTTTGCGTTTGCTAAAATGAAAACAAAAAAAAAAAACTGTTAGCCTGGCACACAACAATAACAAACAACAAAAAAATGTCTGCCAAATAAACTCGAAGGCAAACCAAACTGCGAATGGCATAAAAATAAAATCAAATAAACCGAAAGAAAAGTTCAAATAAAATGTGATTATACGAATAGTATGTAGTAGGTTATGTTTGTGCCGCGTGCTGTGTCTGCATGTCCAGCGCACAAAAACGTGCCCAGATACAAAAGTAAACTAGCGTTGAAATCTCAGACTGTTGGTTGCATTCAAGCTTCAACTACCACAGCAGCAGCAGCAGCAACAACAACAACAACAACAACAACAATGGACAATGTGAAAAGTAGAAAAATTCATTTTCACTGGCAAAAAAACGCATATGAACAGGAAAAAATAGCGATAACTCAAATTGAATGCCAATAAAGTAACATATGCGGCCCTCCAACTAACTCACAAGCATTCACACACACACACACACTGCGTATACGTAATAGTAACTAGCAAGGCGTTGGCTGAAGGACACGCCATGGGCAACGTGAGGCGCCCCTCCGGAAGTTGGCAACGCAGCGCAGAAAAACAAAAAAAAAAACAAAAAATTGAGGAAAACTGAATCCAAACGCTGAGAGCAAAACTAACGAGCTTCGTTGTATTTAGCACAGGCATCTCCAATGGCCCCAAAAGTAATGCCAATCTAAAATAATACAATGTGTACCATGTGTTAGCCCTGAGGGGCAAGACGTGCGCGACGGCGAAGCATAGATGGGCGCCGTATATGGCGATAACGAAGTGCCACGAAACAAATGTATAACCCAGAAAAAAAGAAAAAAAAATAATAATAATAAAATAAAAAAAAAAACACATACACAATCACTGTCAGTGGGTCGTACTTTTCTTCTTTTTTTTTTTTGTGAGGAGGCGGCATCAGCTTAGCAGATGGGGTCTGTCAACAACGTTTCGTTGACAACTATTGACACTAACATGATATTACTTATGCATAAAGCCGTAAAGCATGGGCATGCAGCATGAGTGATGATGTGATGAGCGAGGTCTGTTTTTGATGTTTCCACATAGATCGTAAAATACCGACGGCAGTCATGCTTTCAAAATAATTCATTACTATACATTTTTAAAAGAAACTTAACTTGATTTTTATACCCTGAACCCACTGAAAATGGGTAAAAATGGCTAAAACGGGTATAATGTATTTGTGCAAATGTATGTAACAGACAGCAGGAAGCAGCTCCGACGCCATAAGTTACATATATTCTGGATCAGCATCAATAGCCGAGTCGCTCTAAACGTATCCGTCCGTCTGTCTGTCTATCCGTATGTATAAACGCAAGGATCTCAGAACCTATAAGAGCTAGAGACTTGAACGTAGTTCCTCCTATTGCCAGTGCAGTACGAATTTGTCTTCAATAACTAATAGCTTGCCTCTTTCCCAAGCAATCGATAGAAATTGATTTCGCAATCCTGTTTTTCGAGCATAGAATATAAATTGAAGTGTACCAAAAAAATCTGAATAAATTCGAATTTTCGCAGATAAAACTTAATTATTCCTAACCTTAATCTTTGGCTTATTTTACAACAATTAATATAACCTATTTCGGTATTGCAATAGTTGACAGTTGAAAACCTTCTACCTTGCCACATGTTGAATTTGCTTTTATTTATTTTCTCTTTTACAACATTTTAAAGAATATATCTGAAATGTTTATTCCCATTTCTATCCATAAATGAGTCTATTTCATACATCATCGCCTCGAACCCATCTCGGCACTCAGCCCCACTCAGAACAGACATAGAAAAATACTCATAAACATGTTCATGCCGTTGGCTTTACTTTATATTTGGCTTTTGTTATTTTTGCATACGTTATGTATATTTTTGCACAATTTTTCATTTTGTATTTTTTAAAGAAATTGAATATGTTGCTGGACAACTAAAAAAGCAAAAGACTCAACGGCAGCAGCCGCCCTGCCCCCTGATGCCCTGCCCCGGAGGCTGAGAGTTTGGCTTTATATTAGCACTTGGACATTTTTGGCATTATCATAAGCTTCGCATATCGAAGTGCGATGTATATTTGAGCTTTGGCTGCTCGTCTCAGCGTTCATTGTTCCCTTAGCTGTTGGCAGGTCAATTTTCCAGAATATTTTGTCGAAAATTCTATTACATATTTGCAATTCAGCTTAGACAGCACTTTTCGCTCACCTGAAGGCAATTTAAAATGTGTATTTTCTGCATATTTTTGTGCAAATTTGTTACATCAAATATTTTTTTGTTTATTTTTTGTGGTCAAGCATGGCTGTCCGAAACACTCGTCAAATATGTTATGCTATTTTAGATGTTCAAAAGATAGAAGAGAGCAGTTTGTTGATAATGTTGCTCTCAATTGTAGTTACAATTTCTTGAAAGAGTTTGGCATTGTATATTTATATCCGGAGTAAAAAATATTTTATCATTTTTTGAGAATTTAATTCATTTTATTTTTCGCCACCCAACCAAATCTTTCCTCAACCCCGTTACAATATTGTATATGTATTCCTTTTATAAATGTTCAGATTGGCTCAGAAGTTGCTTTCTACTTCAATCAATTTACATGTTTCATAATCTATTGAATTTAATTCATCTGATTTCTTAGTAACATATTCAAGCAATGCATTTGACATTTTCTTTTTGGCTTGGAGCTCGTCAGGTTTTATTTTGAAATTGCATACCTCCTGCTTTATTTGGCACTCGTCATAAACTCACGTTTAACCCCAGTTTCTTTGTATTTGATTGTTTTCAATGTTTTATTTTGCATAATTTAAGGCAGGCAACACTTTTAATTTCTTTTTATTATTTTTTATATTTATTGAGGCATGCGGCACATACAAACGCCTCTGTCCACAAACATCTCCCACTCCCATCTGCCTGTTCATTAATATGCAATAATGTTTAAGTAAGGAGTCTGGTGAACTTACATGTGTGCAGAGTGCAGACTCCATTCTATTTAAGTACCACGCACACAACGCCAAAATGTGAGACAGAAATCAGGGCTTTGGTTTAGCTTTCGCTTCGGGGCGTAAACAAATACGCGACTGCCACGCGTCAGTCATTAAATCAGGAATCCTGGAACGCACTCAACCCCATCGCAGCTTTTGAACTTTACAAGCAGCTGCCGCAACGTGCGTTTTCGGTTTCTCTGAGAAGATTCGCAGCCGCCGGAGTGGGCGGCACACAAACAACTCCAGCTCCTGCTTCGGGCACCGGTGTGGGCCAAAGTTTTGTCAGCTAACTCGGTAACGTTGCTAATGAGAAGGCAACCTAATTAATTTAAAATCCTCGTTCGTTTATTATTACTATTATTATTATTATTATTATTAGCGAGATTGGAAAATACAGCAGTACGAGAAAAATTGTAGGGGAGCACTTCACGCTTTTCCCACAAATTGATATCGTACGCAGTCAGCCGCCCGCTCTGCAGATTTTCTATCTTGTGGTCAAGCCTAGCAAGCATTGAAAAGCAAATTACTTTTCCAACTGCGAGTTTCGTCAGAATCACAAAAAGTTTAGTATTCTTATCCAATGGGATGAATTGCTATAAAATTATTAAACATTTATCATTAACTTGATTATGTATGAGTATAAGTATAAGTTTGGGTTTCTTATAAAAATTGGGCAGTTTCTTCACCTTCCAATATGGAATTATACAAAATATGAATTAAATATTCACCATAATTGTGGACACGCAAACATGTTTGAATATCTAACACATGACAATTTAAAGTTTATACAATTTATACAAATTAAATTGAATCATTAATCTTGGCATAGTTAATCGATCTTAGTTTGGCTAATCTTGTTATATTACTCCACTTTATGTTATGCTTATTTCAAGTTTTTCTTAGCTTAAAAAGTTGAACTTACAAATTCGTTGGAGGACATGTTTCGAGTTAAATGTTCTTCGTCCATCTCATAGCCTGAGGGTAGCTGCAGCTCCAAATTACTGCCCACATAGTCTTGACGCTCCCGACTGAAGCGCTGCGCACAAAATCGCATTTTCATCAGTTCTTCTCTAGTAATACGCACAGACAGATAATAACGCAAAGCTTTTGGTTTTTGCACCTCCCGATTGTCCAGCTTATAGTCATATGTGCAGCGTACAAATACTTGTCCTACACCTAGTGCTTTAAAGCTAATGTTTCGGCTTTGTGTCTTGAGCGGCATTAGGTTCTCCTGCCATTGATTTTTGTCATGGATGTTGATCTTAAGTTTTTTATTTGGGTCTTCCCAAATCAGTACTTTTAAGTTTGGTGTCTCTATTGGCTGTGTCTGAACATAATCGTAGAGGGCCTGCTCAGCCACAGAGCACTCATAGCAGTTTTCGTATATGACATTTTGGAAGAGTTGAGCCACCAGCCAGTTGAAGATATCAGACTGTTGTTCTCTACGGTTACGACGCACTGACTCTGATAATATACGCCCAGCTGTTTCTAGTTCACGTCTGTGTTGTATCCAGTTGTCACTTGCCTCAGTTTTCGGCCTTATCCATTCAGTTGTGTCAAGTCCGCGCTTGGCCAGCATATAGTAGTCTGGTTCGGCTATCATTTGCGCGTTAACCCAGTCTTGGGCAATTTGGAGATTTAGCAAACTATTCGAAAATTGCAAAACCTTAAGTATCTCAATGTTCAGCTCTAATGGTTTGATATTTCGCCGACCTGGCGTTATGCAGGACTCCTCAAAATATCCCGCTTCTCCTTTACGACGAAGCAGAAATTTCTCAGATTGCATCAACAAACGAGTTTCAAAAGATATTGACGAGCTCTGCAGCAAATACAACAACTGCACGGCATATGCAGTTAACCAGGTTGAGCTGCAATCAGGCTCGATTCCAAAATTGTAACGATATCCTCCATCACGTCTGCGTAGACGCATCAACGACTGAAAACCATTCGTCAGCTGATCCTCCAAAAACTCCCTATAGCTTTGAGACACGTTTTTGTCATCAAAAAAATATTTCCACAAATAATAGATAGACATCATTTTGCTGATCAATTGTTCGCCATTATCCAACGGATCGAAGAAGTTCAGGGTGTGCGGCATTGCAGCAACGTATTGACTACTCACAAAACACTTGATGCCTTCCTCTGTTGGCTTGTGCGGAAATTCCAGTGTGCCTTCCGCTCTTGGTGTGCGTAACGTCAGTTTATGATAGGCCATTACCTGGCCTGACAACAGTTGAGGATCCTTTAGTACTTTGATCTTACGAACTATGCTATCCGTTCCAACATCAGACATCGCTTCAATAGTCACATTTAATGTGCCGGGCTGAAGGGCGCGCAGATTGAACTTCACTACTCCAGTCTTATAACTCGATATAGCCACTTCTTGCTTTGCCCCTTCAGGCATAGGCTTTCCATCGTTGTCAAGCACCTGATACTGTTTGTCATCTTGCATAGCTTGAAAGCTTACTTTTAGTTTCTCCTCATAATTATTATAGCAGTGCAGAACTAATTGCAGCACTTCATCTGATCGAAAAGAGAAAGAAAAGAATATTATAAAACTTAGATTAATTGCTATATTTAAATGCTACTCACCGACTTGTATGCTATAGGGCACACTTAAAGACATGAAGAGGGGCTTTTTGCTCTTTATATTTATATACGGTTTGGGCTTTAGCAGGGTTAGTCCTACATTAGAATCCACAGCAAATGCGCTCAGCCTCCAATAAGTCATGTCATCGGGAACACGCAACTTCCAAGTTGTCAAGTTACGTATTTTACTAAAATGATAAAATTAATATCATAATTCACTACCAAAAACATTGAATTGTTGTTAAGTCAGTCGGGTTGTCTCAAGATCTGACTATTCCCGCATTTTACTTTTACCTCTGTGTGCTGTTGAATATCCACACATCGTTATATTCTTCTCTGACTATTGGTATTTCGCAACATATATAATCTTCCATATGCCTATTATCGAAGTCTACCAGTTCGTTCCGCATAGTTATTTTTCCACGAGAAAGTCGATCTCTTAGATTTTGTCGCGAAGTCTTGGAATCTAAAACATTATATTTAATTGGTATTGTGAATAAAAAAAATCAACAAAGCCTCATGTAAATTTGCCTTTTGTCATTTCTAAAACGCTGGCTGCATTGGTCAAAAAAATTAAGCCCGACATCTGGACCGCATGATTTTCGGTGTGTATCATATCAGATGCCGACGCTTGTATAAAGGCTTTTATAGTATCAAAATAGTTATCTGAGAAATCATTAAACAAGTTCCCTCCGAGTTTAAGAACTCGGGTATCCACAGCAGCAAGTCCCACATAGGAATTCGGTGCTGACTTTATGCGCAAAGTTATCTCATCGCCAGGCGAGACTTCAGTAGGTGCTTCGATGACAACCTAAAAAAAACATAATTGACCAAATTCCAACATCTCTCTTCGTTTTTTATTTTGCTGTTCTTACATGTTCGTGGTCAGGTCGAGCCGGTGTAATAGTTGTCCGAGCCATAACTAAAACATTTGAATTGGAATCCACGCTGTACAGAATAACATGCACAAGCGGCCACATTTTCGTAGTCAATTGTATCAAGATCTCAAATTCGTTAGTCGATTGATCCGGATAGACTGATTCCGATCCCAATATGAGACCGTTAAACATGACCACACAAATGGCATTTGTGAGCGTACGGTTAAGCTGAAACATGATCTTCTCCGGATTTTTTAATGGTGTACCGAACTTCTCTATTTGTACTCTAAATGTTGAGATTTGTCAGTTGTAAAATAAATAATTAATTTCTATTAATAACCTGTATCCTGTATGCATTAAAAATGTATTTAAATGGTTATGATGGAGTTTTTGAAAAGGGTTAGCCTACCCTTTGTATATTTCGGACAATGGCTATGGTTGAGATTTTGTTTATGTATTTGTGAAAAAATAATGTGGAATGTTTATTGTGAGAGCTCGGAAGCGGATAAAAGCTAGCTCCTAGTCGAACAGTTCCGACTAGAGGACTCTTATTTAGATTCTTTTTCATACTTACAAATTTACACGCTTTTTGGCACGGGTCTCGGGCACAAGTTTAATGGGCGGTGATTCTTTTGATTTTGGGTCCCACACAGTTACCCTCGTGGTGGCAAAAACTCTTCTATGGGTGTATTTCTCAGAAACATTTGCGGTTAGTGTGAGCTGAAGCGGTATATAAAAAAGTTTCTTTGCATGGAACTGCGATAGCTTAACATTGACCGTAGCCTTGCCATTTTGAAGTTCACTTTCTAGCGTAACGGTCTGCGGAGTGTGTTCCACCTCGCCTTCAGTGTAGCTTTCAAATTGAAGAGTTAGGTTGCCCTCGATGGGACCACCAGAAATATATTGTGCCCATACAGCTACGTCGAACTTTTGGTCTGTTATGTTAACGTTGGCTGGCGCACTCAAATTTAATTCAAAATACGGTAATTCATAATTATTAACTTGTATATGGGTGCATTCCTCATTGGAACGAACTCCATTCTGAGCGCAGATGCGCCAGCGGCCAAGATTTGGTCGTAGGCTCAGACGTAGCTCCGACTGAAATACGCCTTGTACGACCGTCAAACTGTTGTACACTTTAACATGAATCCCTTTGGCGTCCTCAATCCATATCGCCGCCTTGGACCGTGGCTTCACTGGCTTCATTGTCTCATTGTGGAAGAAGACACGAAACTGCAGCAATTGTCCTGGTCGGTAAAGCAACTTAGGCGTTTGTATTTTAATGAAGTCTTTAAAGTTACGCCATGTCAATTGCGTCGAGTTCTCAACCTGAAATCCTCGTAGGGTCTTTATCTTCAGCCAATAAAGTCCTTCCTCCAATTCGGGAATATCAAATGTATACTTGCTGGACGGAAAGTTACCAGTCGTTAGCATTTGCATGCTCACATTGATGCTGGGGCCGGATAGCACAACCTCGAAAATGGTACGGAATCTGTAATTGAACGTGCTCACAACAACTCCATAGGGACGACCCGAATAGATGTTAGCAGGTGCTGACAAAATATAGTTACTATCGCCACAACGATGATAAAATACATTAGTTCCTATATTGTTATTCTAAGAAATATATTTATTATTGGAATTCGTTATGCACGTGAGGAGATTTGCAATAATTTGTTTTCTCTTTCTGGGGCAGACATTTGAATTATTGAATGTTATGCTTTTCGCTATTTTTTTTACATCTTACAGGTATAATTCGACTTACGAATATTTATATTAAAAGCAAATAAATCTTAGGATCGGGCTCCTTTAGTTATTTAACAAACGATAATTATTTTGTTTTCCGACTTACCCTGTGGAACTAATTAGCTCCTGTGGTGATCCCACCCCCAATCGCAGCAGAAAGAGCAGCAGCAATTTATGAACTAAACAATCGCTCATGGCTCAGACAAAACTGATCGCTGCTGTGGCATATGAGTTCTTATAATTATATTGCTTTGACATGTGTTTCACTTCATCTACAGCCATTAAATTGCCCATTAGCCGGGTAATGCAATTTGGATCTGGTTGTAATTCAATCGGATGCACCAGATAAAGTGCATAATTGGGCCGCCTTCATGGTTCTTGGACAATCTCAACTTTGCTATGTGACTTCAGCTTCTGGACTTGTTGTGTGGCCGTATTTTGTTTTGTTTGCTTGCTTGTTGTTTGGAGCCATCGTCCACATCAAAGTAGTCGATGGTTAGTCGTTGTCATTGTTGTTGTCGTCGTTGTCGTTGTTGTCTCCTAGTTAATAAAGCAGCACTTAGGGCTTGATGGAAGCAGGAGACGCTTCCACTGCCATTGCCATTGCCACTGGCAGAGCGGTTACTTAAGTTCTGAGATGAGCTCAATGTGTGCCACAGTGTGCGTCTGTGTGTCTGCGTGTCTGTGTGTCCTGGCTGTGATGCAGTTATGCGCATTTCCGCTCGAGTGGCTTCTATTCCTGACTTGCTTTGCTTACATTAAAGTGCACATACACATGCGTTTGTTCGTTACTGTGTCTGAGTGTGTGTGTGTGTGTAAATATTTGCGAGGGCTGTTTTAGCATTTCGAAGCAATATATTAAAGAATAAACAACAAATATTATGATTCCCGTGACATAGACTTGAAAACAATGTTTCTATTCCCTTGTCAAAATTCTTCGAACATTTATCTAAGAGGTTTCAGTTATATTTAACAACTTGCCAAGTTGTTGTCAAATTTAACTTAGTCATAAATTACTCAGAGATCTTAAATTATGTTTTCTTTTTTAAGAGAACTATTTATGTTCTATTCTTCATATATGCTAGGTCACATGTTATTCTGTAACTGTTCAATCGGCCCACCTGTATTTACAATTGCCTGGACAGTAGCAAAAACAACAACAAGAAGAGCCACACAAACACGCACACACTGTTGCCATGTCACTCACTCATTCAGTCAAACTGTCAATGCTAGTTTCAATCTTTGTATTTTGCGCTTTCGCCTGCAATTGGCAGCCGAGGCAGCATTACATTTGCTTGATTGAACTTGTGCCCCACCTCTCTAGGCCCCATTGCCCACCATTCTCCCCTCTGTTTTCCGGCAAGTTCTGCTGTTCACGTGTGGAATTGTGCATTGCTATTTTTGGGTGCTATGCTGACAGCAGCCGAAAAGCTTGGCAGCCGCTTGGACTTGGCCGAAGACCAGAAACCAGTGGCAAAGCCAGTGAGTTACCTCAGTAGACGAGATATGTTGTTAAATGCATAAGCAGGCAACCCTGACCCACATTCGAGGCCGAGTCCAAGCAGAAACATAGACGGCCATAAACAGCCCGATGCATTTTTATAGCATACTTTATGGCGCATACAATTTAAAGTGCACTTTTCATCAGCACAAGGCGAACAGCCGAAGCGGCATAAAACGAAAAGTAAACTTGGAGAATATATATCTAGTTTTTTGTATGTTTATTCGCCGCTTCTCAACTCATCGCTTAATCCGCCAACTAGAAACAACGACACAGAGCACCGAACGCGAGTCAAGACCAAGACTAACTTTCCATACTCTAGCCAATATTAGTTTACACAACTTTTACTCGCTATTTGTGAGCCATGTTACTTTACTTGAATGCACATAATTGAGACGTGGTTCTTGTTAGTTAAGTTACGATAATAATAACATCTTTCAGCATATCTCTTAGCTCTAAATATCTTTTAAGGCGTCTATCTCAATAAGAGTCTGGTTTAAAGTGTGTATGTCTTCGGTGCCGAACTGATTTTTGGTCTTTTGCTTTTGGCTCTTGCGATTTTCAGTTGCATTTATATGGCCCATACATCTCAATTTGTGCTGCTTGCGAATTGGGTTACAGTTTGGTGTCTGGGCCCGAGCAATAGACTGTGACAGCCTTAAAGAGTGGAAGGGTTAGAGACGCGGGCGGTGCAAAGTTTGCTTAGCTGAAATTTTAGTGACTGTCGCTGGTTTGTGTTGTTCTTTCAAAGCATATCAATTAAGTTGGCATTGGCTTCCGTCTGTAACCGGAGAGTCAGCTTATCATTTGCATGGAAATTACCCTAACCACACACAGAGAGGCGACTCAATCCCATCCAGCGACCAACTTTATAACTTTAAACAAAATCACAGCGTGGGAAAACAATGTGAAACGCATAAAAACTGAAATGTTTCACCAAAGAGTTCAACAATTTTTTCCTTTCCTTTCCTTTTATTTTTTTTGCTTTCCTTCGTTGAAAAAACAAAAGTTTTGCTCTTTTAAATTCATTTAAACGCTTTTAGCGCTTTTCACGCCAGCCAACCAGGATGTCTCCTGCTCGTCTGGAGCTTTATGGATGGCCCAGAGTCGGCATCGTCGCCCCCTTGCCTCCTGATTGCCAGCCATAGAGATACAAAGTTTTGTTTCGGTTTTGTAAAAAATGTCGGGCTTCGCTAGCTGGTGATGAAAAAAAATGGCAAAGTTTTGCGACTCACAAAGTGAAACTATCAGAATAATACGAGTGTGCAAAATCAGGCTAACTAAAGTTAAAAATATCCTCTACAAAGTGGGAAATGGCACTCGGAATGCACATTATTTGATTATCTATTGGCGCTAATCAATCCTTATAGCTTAGACTCGCTTCGTGTATTTTTGATACTAACTTATTGCTGTTACCAAGCTGAAAGCCGGGTGTGAATTGATATTTAGATCCATATTTCTTTAAATCATCATCAAATTCTTACAAGCCTCATATAAGAGAAATTGCTGAAAATTGACTTGATAAAAGTAAAAGATAAAAGTAATAATTAATTTAATTCATTCTAAATTATCAATTAAATACTTTTATTTTTAGTTAAAGGAAGCCTATTAAACAATTTACGAATTGTCCATCAGACGCTGTTCACATTTTGAACAGCATTTGCCCTTTCTCTTGGTTTTGGCCCCGGACATAGAACTAGAGTTGAACAGTTTGCCTTTGTTGTCGACCAAACTCGGTCTTTAAATCCCCGGCAGCCCATTCATCCGCATGCGTAGCGCATGCCAATTGTGCAATTGTTGGAAAATTTCTTTTGCTAAAAACTTGTACGTTGTGACTTTTTGTAGCTTTTATTTGTTATTTTGCTGGACGTTTCTCACTTTTTACACTTGCCACAACGCCCGTAAGCTTTGTTTGTTGCGGCCTGGCCTGGCAGCCAGCCGGAGCGGCTGTGGCCATTGTGGGCCACTGTGGGATGCTGTCTTAATAGGTGTTGGCAATCATGAAGTTGCTTGCGGCAGCAGGACGCGAATCGGGCCAACAACTGGCTAAAGACAGAGGCGAACTTTTCCGAATGTGTGTGTGCGTGTGTGTGTGTGTGTACTTAGCCATTAGTCGCTTTGATCAAATATTTAAAGCTAATGAACAAGATGGGCACATTGCCAACTTGCAATAAACGAAAGAACCAAATGAAAATAAACGAAGAAGAAGAAGAAAGACAACTGCACCTAAACTTGTTTGGCATTTCCAATGATTTAAAGCCAGTAAAGGTATTCGAAAAAGCCTTTCATCAGCTAGCCAGCCCAGAGGAGTTCAATCAACCTGACAAATTTCAATCAGGCTGCGGTAAAAACGGGCTCACAGCACTTGGCTAGAACGAGTCCAGGTTCAACCAGGTACAAACCGAGTCACGCCATGGCACAATTAGGATGCCGTTGAAGTTTTGTCAATGAATGAAAAGCGTCTGCAACTTTTATTTAACTTGCGAGTGGGCCCCACACACAGCCCGGACCCACAGAGCAACTGTGCTTGGTCAACAATTGCCGTCTAGAACGTGCACTCACGTAGCGAGCCACACAAACACACACACACACACTCACAGAGCGAGGGGCAGAGCAAAGGTAAATGGGTAAACCAACGTCTAGTGGGTCGTTGGTTTTAGCTATTTACAGCAGTTAACATTCGAGTCCTTGCTAAGTCCTGATGGTTTCGACTTTTTAATGCAGCTTGCAACTGTTTAGATGCAGCAACTTAAAGCTGCCTCCTTCTCGAATCACCATTAAATGCTTTAATTTGCATTGCATTCAATTAATTTTATATTAATTCAGAATCACAATTTTTATATATTTTTCTTAAATATTGAGTATTGATCAGTTGATTAAAATTGTAGAGATTGAAATTTGTAAGTGCTTAACTTTTAACCCAAGTGTCTACTCTTAATCTTACCAATTGTATTTGTGTTCTTCATATGCTACTCTTCAATTAAAGTCATAAGCTTGTCTTGTTGAGTTAGAGTATTCAAGTTTTACTTGTCTATGCAAACTTTTAGTTCGAGCACTTTTGATGTGCACAATTGCCTGGTTAAAATTATTGTGTGGCTTTACTTAAATTGGCTTTGGGTTGTGGTTTAGTCGCGTGCCAAAGTTAACTGCGGCTGCGGCATGGCCAACCACAGCATTTCGCTCAGTGCAGTCGCTTTAACAGTCGCCGCCTTAATGATAAGGCTGTTCATTCAGTACATTCAGCAGACGACGCTGCCGCTGCCGGCTGGCGTTATCGCCGAACCGACTGACCTAAGCACTGAGCCCCAACAGTAACGCCTCCGACACCGCCGCCTGCTCGTGCGCTCTGCTAATCGGATAACTATAACAACGTTGTTTACATTGCGAGTGCGACTGCAATGAGACTGACCCACGATGAGCCGCAGCAGCTGCCCCTTCAGTTAGTTGGCAAACCAAAGTGTTGATGAGAAGATGTTCAATTTGTCGCTGCTCTTCTGGTGTCTATTGCTGTTGCTGGTGGCTGAGGCTCCGGCTGGGGAAGCCACACTATCTCCGCTCAATGCGAAAGACTATCAGCTGGACTTTTTGCGTGCCTTGGCCGACCAAGCAGAGCAGCGCGCCGAGCTGAGCCTAAACGATTATCTGCAACAATTGGAGCGCAATGCCAGCTATGGCAACTACACTGAACAGCTGGCCGCCGCTCGCGTCTCCCACAAGCTGCAGTCCAAGGTGCTGCTCATCAAGCAGCTATTGGACGCGGAGCAGCATACCCAGCTTGACTTGGAGCACACCTGTGTGCTGCGCAATCTAGTCTTCCTGAGCCGCCTCAAGCAGCAGTTGCGCGCTACTAGAGATGCCAGCGCCCAGGAGATACGTCAACTGCGCGTGCATCACCTCTGTCAGCAGTTCGAGCGTCCTGTCGCCGGTCAGCGTCGGGAGCGGCTGATCAATGAGCACACTTTGGGCGCAGCCCTGGAACAGCTGAATGTCACGCATAGCACAACAAATACAACCAGCCTGGATCTTACGCATTTTGGTCAACAGCTGTACGAGCGTGTGAAGCTATCGGGCGCCGAGATCATAGACAACTATGTGTTTATACTGCGCGGCCTTCTGCAGGATATTCTCGATGCTGAGCACGCGGATCTGGCTGAAAATATAACGCAGCTGGAGCGATCGCTCCAGCAGCTGGACAAAATGCTGGCCATACCGGACTTCTTTGACAAACGGCAGAGTGTCTATGCCTTCCTGGAGCGTCATCTTAACTTAGACTACGAGCAGCCGGGCCAGACCCTTAACACCGAGCAGCACCTGACCGAACAGCTGCTGGAGCAGCTGAAGGCCAAGGGCTTGGATCTGTTTGTCATCTTTCTGTTTAGCAACTTTGAATTCCTGGAGCAGGTGCATGAGCATTGGTCGCAGCTGCTGCCACAAACGCCCAGTTTGCTGTACGACGACACGAGCAGGCAACTCTATGACATACAGCAGCACTACGAAACCTTTAAACTGGATACAGAGAGCTCGGCCAAGTATGAGACATACACAGCGGCGTTAAAACGCCTGCACGAGCGCACAGTGGAACAGGGACAGCAAAATCATCACATATTCGAGATGGTCAACAATGCGGCGCAGAATGTGGGCAGCGTAACGTTCAATATGATCAAGGCCAAGTGCAAGGAATTGCTTTAAGGATTAAGAAATTACAAAATAAATAAACACCCATATTATTACAAGCAATAAAATATATTATTTTTAGCTATCTACTAAAACTTTTTGTTGTTATCAAATAACATTGTATTCGTACCCTTCGTTTTTCAGTTGCCCGATTAACAGTGTTACGGAGACTCATCTATATAACTATACACAATAATCTCAAAAAATATATCATCTTACCCCGAGAACCGATTCAAAAGCAGTTCCAGTCATTATTCATTAAGCTTGAAGAGTTGTTATGGGTGTGAGATCGAATATAAGCCTGCCTAAATCCGATTCTAATATTCGCAATAAATGAATCAATGCTATATTATGTTAATATTTAAAATATATAAGGTATATAAATGAATTTTGGTTCATAGTAGTTTGAATACTGAGTATGAATCAATTCTTTATTATCTAAATATTTAAAATATATAAGGTATATAAATGAATTTAGGTTCACAGTAGTTTGAATACTGCCTAAAGCCGATTCTAATATTCGCAATAAATGAATCAATTCTATATTATCTTAATATTTAAAATATATAAGGTATATAAATAAATTTTGGTTCACAGTAGTTTGAATACTGAGTATGAATCAATTCTATATTATCTAAAAATTTAAAATGTATAAGATTTATAAATGAATTTAGGTTCACAGTAGTTTGAATAATGCCTAAAGCCGATTCTAATATTCGCAATAAATGAATCAATTCTATATTATCTTAATATTTAAAATGTATAAGGTATATAAATGAATATAGGTTCACAGTATTTTGAATACTGTCTAAAGCCGATTCTAATATTCGCAATAAATGAATCAATTCTATATTATCTTAATATTTAAAATATATAAGGTACATCAATGAATTTTGGTTCACAGTGGTTTGAATACTGAGTATGAATCAATTCTATATTATCTTAATATTTAAAATATATAAGGTATATAAATGAATTTTGGTTCACAGTAGTTTGAATACTGAGTATTTTTAAATCGTATAAACCTAGTTCGAGCCAGAGTCAGAAGCACTTGTGCGATGTCAAAAAAATGGGCCAAAGTCAAGCTTAAGTAGCGATGCACTTGAGCGATGTCAAAAAAATGTCCCACAGCTTAATTATATTTTATTTTGCAATGTTGTTGCTGCTGTTGCTGGTACTTTGTAATATCCGTCAGGGTGCCGGGATGCTGCATCGGATGTTGCCTTAATAGCGCTCCAGGTACTCCAACTCTCTTCCACTCTCCCACTCTCTTTTTCTCTCTCTCTCTCTCTCTGCACGGCCTGGTTGTCCTTTGCCGCATTATGCTGATGCTGATGTGGTTGTTTATCTGATGCTGCCAACGGGCTAGTGGTCCTGACTGCTCGGGGCCAGGCTGCCAAACTAATGACTGTTGCTGCCGTTTCGTTAGCCCGAGCCAGCTAATTAATTGCCGTCGTTGCAGGTGATTAGAACTTAAATGAGTTGCAGCAGCGGCGGTCAGCCCATCAGCAGAGCGCACCAGAAACTAACGCCAAGCGATCCCAAAACGCAACCATAATGTTTACAAAATACGTATAGCTGTCATTTTGTCCAGCTCTCTAGCTGGCTGGCTTGCTGGCTACTCCGCATGTTCCGACTGTGGACAAAATGACATTTAATGTGCATAACTGTGGCTAGTAATCCAATATGTTTGAGTTTTACTCATTTGAGTGTATTACGTTTGGGCAAACATCAGCAAAGCGAACTCTTTAAATAACTCTTACGAGTTTATGGAATATGACAATGATTAGTTGGGCCTCACGTTCACGTTCAGTTATTAATTAAAATTTGTGCCTGGTTCACAATTAAAGACAACTCAAATATTGAAACATTTCAAACTTAAATTCTGCTTTTAATTCATACTTTTGATTACTTCAATCTTTGGCAAAATAAATAATTCAATTGATAAATTTGTACACCTAAATTCTGTTGTTGATTTGTATTTACATTCGCTTGCAAGTTATCAAAATGGGCAGCTCGACTAAAGATCTTATGGTATAAGACAATTTGTTTTCTCATAAAACTTATAATATTGAAAAGAATTGTTGCTTTCGATAATATAAAATGTAGCAAGCTGTTTAATTGTAATGCAGTATTCTATGCACATTGTTACAAATTGAATACATTTTGTGTCATGTGGTTATCGATTTGTTGGCAGTGCTTTGCCTATGAGTTCACAAGGTTAATATTAATAAAATGAACAGCCATATATATTTAATAATAATTATTATAACTTACTCTTTGTCGTCAAATTCTGGTATTTGCGTGTCAAGTTTTATATTTGCAGCTGCAGACCTACAGAAATTTGTCTTGTTTGTAAATGTTTTTAAATATTTTATGTTCCATGGCGCTTACTTAAATTATTGTTTAATATACTTTTTAATATTCATAAGTATTTCATCCAAGGCAATTAAGGAACGTTAATAAACCATAATCAATAAGTAAAGATTAGCTTAGCAATGCACTCCTTAAAATCGTGTTGGTTAGCTTTCCAATATTGTGTATGTTATGGGGAAAGCCTGCTTTGGAGAATCTTTAAATTCCAAATATGTATATAGATGAAGCGATAACTTCAAGTTCAGTCAATCAATTCGTACATTTGACTTGTTTGCGCAAACACCTTAACACAAGCAGTTTCATGAATAAAACCATTGATTCAGCCTCAAGCAAGCTCACTTTACAGAGCTGCCAAACTGCCAAACGTTTGCACAACATTTATCACCTTTAATGCAGCGAACGGCAAAGCCAAGCCGTTTTGGGCGTTTGGGGCCTGTTGTGGGCCCCCAAAGGGGCCGCAGGCAAAGCAAAGGCCATAACAAGTGCCGTTTACAGTGGCAATAATAAAAACAACAACACGAACAGGAGTCAGTGCCACAACAATGCAATGAAATGCAATTTCACAGTAGGCTAAACTGCAGAAGCGCACCCGGCTAGGACGGGACTGGAAGAAGGGTCCCATCCGCCGGACATTAGTTCCGTGTTTTATGGCATTGGCGCTCAAAGGGCGCATGGCGTGAAATTTAATTATGATTTATTGTTCTGAAAGCCTTGGCTGTGGGTTGTCTGCATATGTGTGAATGGGCGTGGCAATGCCTCAGTCTTACAACTTTAACGAGCCAAAAGTGCTCAATACTTAATGCATAATTTATTGACAGTTTTCTTCTTCGGCTGTCAAAACTTTAGAAAACTTAACCATTAATGGGCTAATCGCCTGGGCTTGCGTCTTTTAAGCTATTAACTTTTAAGTGCTTCCATAAATCTTTTTAGCTCTTTAAACGAAAACAAGCTACAGCCGGAAATACATTTTGATTGCGATGTGGGGGCCTAGCTACTTATAGACATGTCGGCATGAAAATATAAATAAATAAAATTTAAGATTCTGTCTTAATTACTAATGTCGCTATAACTTGTGCTCTATTTGTCATTGCAGTCATCCAGGAGGATCCCGAGTTCACGGACGTCATCGATAATATAACAGTACCAGCAGGACGCAATGTCAAATTGGCCTGCTCTGTTAAGAATTTGGGCTCGTACAAGGTAAGAGCAAATACAATTGTTGATTAATTAGACGTAGTTAATTAAATGCAAGTTAAGGACCTCGTGCGGGGCCCAAATGCAAATACCCTGATATATGTATATTTGTGGCATGGGGCTTTATAAAAGCTGTATGTAAATATACTTTTGTGCATAGAAAATACCCTGATAAAGCTGACATGCATATAGCTTAAGCAGAAACGCCAAGTCATATATAAAATCTATTTGTTAATAACAAAATGCATGACATGAAATCAAGTTTTTATCAGATCAAGTCGACTTTAACAAACTTGAAGTGATGTGTTTAACAGATGGAAACAAAGCCCAGCAGCAAACTAATACGCCGCTGTCTAAGATCAACATGTCCAGGGGCCATGCAGCAACTATAACAAAAACAACACCAAACCGAGTCAAGGTCCAGAAAAGCAGCAGCAGCAGCAGCAGCAACAGGCGCCCCCCGGCGACTGGACACGAAGGGCAACGCATTGAACTTGTTGACTTGCTCAGCTCCGCTCTACACTTGAGTTTGGCATGAGTTGTAGTCATAGTTGTTGGTCTTTGTGTTTGTTGTTCTTGTTTTTGTTAGTATGTAACAATGTGCGCTCATGTTTGTCCTTTGCTCATCGCTTGACAGCGCACGGCCAAACAATCTGGCAGCCAGCAGCCAAAAGCTGAGCAACCCGTTCTGGCAACTGTGCGTAGCTGTCTCTTTAATTAAGTAATTTGTGCACAAATTCCACCCGGATGGTGGGCACAAAAATCAAACTGTCGCAAATGCCTTTGGCCATGCCGAGCACGTTAAGCAGGTGGGTAGATAATGCAAAATCCACTTGACAAACCTCTCTGCTCAATATGCATTGAGTGCTGCATACTTTTGGGCTGCAATTGCTATGCATAGCACTTGCTTTGTGTCGCCACACATAGCTTTCTATGCCTTTGTGTGCGTTTGCGTTTGTATGTGTGGGCTTTGAGTGCCCGGCAATTTAAATTTGCATTCAATTGAATTTCCATAATGTGCGTCGGCCGAAACGTGCATAAATTCCATTTGACACGAGATATTCGCTTCATCTTTTATCAGCGAGCGCATGTTATGTGCTCGTAATAATTTTTATGGCCCTTAAGTTTGGCATGCAATTGCCCCTACAACCCCAACCTACAATGCGCAGGACCCCAAGCGACCAATGCCATCGTCGCCGCAGGTATGCTCAAAAGTTAACCAGCAACAACAACTACAACAACGGCAGCCAGAACAACCCGTAGCTGCAATAAAACGTGACTTTGCATGCAAAATAGTTGCGTAGCCGCTAGCAGGCAGGTTACATTGGAATTGATTTTGCCATCCTTGCCCTGGGTACAAAAACTTTCATACTAAGTTGGGGAACCATGTATTTTGGATGATTTCTGCTTGGGATCTTATATTATATTCCATTCCTCGATCGTTTAAATAACTAGCTTTTTAATAGTACTTTTTAAGTTATCTTCGCTCTTTTGCTAATTAATGAAAACCCTGTTCATAAATTTAATAGATAAAAAAAATGGGAGCATTGAAGAAGTACTTTGTTAATTCACATAATTATTTAACAACTCATCAGAAGTTTTAAAACTAAAATCTTAAAAACAAATTATGCACTTTTTTGTATAGGAAAAGTAAGCCAAGGCCTTGATATTGTTTTTATTTTATTTTCTTTCTACGATTTTGGAGCATTTTTCTTTAGATTTATTCATTGTTAATCTTTGATTAAGTCTTGATTTAGACTTTATGAAGTTTCTCGGTAAGAGTATTCGAGCTTCGATATGCGAATAGCTTATTTCGTTTCTTAATTCTTTTTAACTGCTGCTGCCTTTCTTGGCGTACAAATATTTGAGCTGCGTGTAAATTAACTCGCGTAGTTCTTCGACGCTGCTTTAACACGTTTCCGCTTAAATTGTTAATATTTCGAGCGTTGCCCTGCCATTGCCATTTGCCATTTGCCAGAGCTGAAACTGTCGACTCTTATGCTGTCATGTTCTTGTTTGTATTTCAATTTTCAACGCCTACACAAACAGCCATCCACAGCACCAACAAGCCCAACATGAGCATAAGTTTAGTTTGTTGTTGTTTCTGCTGCTGCCATCGGTGTGCGCCGGAGCCAACCATAAACATTTTCTGCCATAATAAAGTGTGTTTATTTTTGCTATGGCTGAAAGTTTTCGTTTTTATTTTTTATTTTTAGTTTTTGTTAAAAAATTTTATGGCTCCATTTGTGTAGTTTCTGGCCAAGTATGAGCTACAACGGGCACAGATATTACGCAAATTGCAAATTGGCCATTTTCTGTCTCGTCTATCGACTGGCATCAGCATATGCCTCAGCTCTGACAGTATTCATGCGAACGAAGATAAATATGCAGAGATTTAAAATGCACTAAATGGAAAACTAATACGGCCAGACTAGACAATATCTATAGCTATTAAATTTAAATTTAAAGTTGAGTTGAATATACATATATACTTCAATTTATATTTATTTGAATAAGATTATGGTATATTTAATATTCATTTCTGAGGCAAAGGAACTATGTACGCGTGCATAGAAATATTTACTTTATCGATAGCTTGATTATTTTAAATTAACTTTCTCGACGTTTTAAATTAGTTTTGGCTTATTGGTTTGCAAAATACCTTGACATGTGCTTCACAAAACAATTCTATAAAAGCCTTAACACGGGCGCACACTCTTCAGTTCAGCATTTTGTTGTCTTAAGTAAAGTTATAATGAACGGGAAGCGGATCCTCATTTTATTGTTATTGGCCATAGTTGTCGAAGGAAAACTAGCGAATAAAAAAAATCTACCAGATGCATTAGCTAAATCATCAGCTCCACCTACAGGTGCAAAAGATACTCCAGCAGCTGCACCTAATGGAACAAATGTTCCACCTAATACTCTAAGAACGGCGGAAGTAAAACAACTCATATCATGTGTGGCAAATTACATTAAAGTCTTATTTGCAGGATGTTCTAAAAGAAATGGATAAAAAATTAAATGATAAAATGAACAAGCTAATCGCCTCCAAAGAAGGACACTTCGAGAACAATACGGAGTATGAGGACAGTTTGGATGCACTAAGTCAAGCTAGTAAATTGCCGCAAGAATCATATGCAGCGAAGCAACTAGCTTATGATACATTTAAATCTTATAACAACCGCCGATTAGAACTGGAGGAAAAAATTAACAAACGTCTAGAAGAGCTCAATAACGACTCTAGTTCACAAAGCAATGAATGCAAACAGTTTTATTCAAAGCAAAAAATCGCGCTCACCTCTGCTCTTAAGAAGACAAACAATAAGAAGGAAGACATATTGCTAGAAAATAACGTGGCATGCCCATCTAATCCTGTCAAAGATGATGGATGTGATGATGGTGACGATGACGATGATGATGATGATGATGATGATTATGAGGACTATGATTATATGATTTAAACAAAAGTAAAATAACATTCTTAGATCGCGATCAGCTAGGTCCCAAAAAAAAATTATTTCTAAACTGACATTTTACAATTTTACAATTTGGATAACATAGAGTTAATGAATTTCTGATGTATAAAAATTCTGCGGATTTGCCTGCCCTATGTAAAGTCTACGAATTTTAAATTACATCAATTTTTAACTTCAATCCTTCAAATATTTAAAATCATTCCAAAGACAGCCTGTTTTATTTATTTTCACATTTGTCTTTCTGTATGCCACATTTCAGTGAATTTATATCAATCAGAAAATTTTCTTCATTATAAAATTTTAACTTTTACTTAAACAAAGCTGTTTCCCATACAAAAACCAATTTTATTTAAATGTCAATCTTACCGACAGATGAATAGTTCACGTAATTGAATGTAGAAAATATTCATTGCGCTTCATAAAATAAATAGATTTGTGTTATTACGAAAGCTAACTAAAACTGAGCGTAGCGTGCAAATTATCTCTTTTTTTTAGCTAACTTGCACAAACGTGCACAGTAATAATTATATTATCGAAAGCCTGAGTACTTAAAAAGTTTTTAATTAGCTTTAGCTTTATGCTTGGACAACACCTCGACAAGTTCGATTCTATAAAAAGCCATTACTTTGGTGCACAATTTTCAGTTGAGACGTTTGTAGTTTAAAGTACAATTATTATGAACGTGAACGGTATCATTATTTTATTGGTATTGGCCACGTTTGTGGAAGGCGCCAGTGTTCCAGAAGACAATGAGTCTTCCTCTACTACCGAAAACGACAACAGTTCTTCTTCTACAAAAGACACCAGTTCTTCTTCTACAAAAGAACCCAGTTCTTCTTCTACTCCTTTAACTTCTCCAGAAGACACTAGTTCTTCTTCTGCTTCTCCAAAAGACACAAGTTCTTCTTCTACTCCTTCTTCTACATCTCCAAAAGTCACTAGTCCTTCTTCTACTTCTTCAAAACACACCATTTCTTCTTCTACTTCTCCAAAATACGCTACTCCGTCTTCTACTGCTCCAACTCCTTTTTCTTCTACTTCGACATCTACTTCTTCTACTTTGTCAACTTCTACTTCTGTTCGGACTCCCACTTCTAAGTCTACTACACCTAAAGGCGAAACTAAAACAACAGAGGTTTGAAAAATAACTGCTGTGATACGTGCACCATTTAACATTAAAGTCTTATTCGCAGGACCCTCTCACAGAATTGGACACGCACATAAATGAATTAATACAAAAGCTTATCGATTCCAAGGAAGGATATTACGATAAAAATAGAGAATATGAGGATGAATTGTCATATTTAATTCATGCCAAAGGACTGAAAAAGGAATATTTTACCTACAAATATGACATTTATAAAACATTCAAATTCTATAACAAACGACGGTTAGAGCTAGAGGAAAAAATTGAAGAGCGCATTGAAGAGATCAATACTGAACTTACAGTCGGAGTGGAAAATGAATGCTTTACGTTTTATTTAAGGCAAAAAAGGACACTCGAGCTCGCTCTTGTCAAGTCAAACTATCAGAAGGAAGATGCATTGCGACAAAATGACACGAATTGCCCAAACTACATATATGAATATGATGAATACAATGAATATGATGACTTTTATGACTACGATGATTTTGATTACTATCATTATTTTGATAACTATGCTTATTAACCCTTACCAGAAATATTATTCAATATAAATATTACGATTTGTACCTCTGAGCATCTGATCTTTCTTCTTCGCCGTTTCCATGACACATCTATTGAAAAGTGTTTTTTATAAACTCATTAAAACTCATGTAACACTCTGTTCTTTAGAATGTAAGTTTTTTTTTAGATTTTGAAGTCAGCGTCATGAAACTTGGAATCTTTTCGCTTGTATACACGTGTTAGATAAAGTGTTAGAATGATATGGCTACGTCTATTGGAGGCGTGGTTAATAGCAAAGTTTGTTATGTAAGAAACTGCACTAGACTTGGGTAATTTTACAATTAAGTGAAGATATGGATTCACTATATTTAACGCTGCTTACAACGTTGACATTCTAATTAACTTTTATCTTTTTACATTTGCAAAGCAGCTAGCACTAACTGTCAAGCTATATGTGTAGACCGTAACAGAATTCAATACAACAATTTAGGAGTTCCCTTATTTAAACAATCATTTTCTAATTGCTCAATATCATTGAATTTAAATCAAAATATTAAGCTTTTTGTGATATTTTGTCGTGAACATTTATCGAATATTTTGAAAGACTTTTCCTCTAGTTAAACGCTTTTCGCTGCAAAGGTTAAACATGAGCTTCTACCGACTTTTGCTGTCGTCGAGCTCTGCTTACTTGGCTAACGAGCAATTTGTACTCATAATTGTAGGCCCCGTGAGTCCATCGACACAAGTTAAATTGGGCATTGCCCAGGCGGAGCAGCAGACGCCTCCACAAGATGAGCTCAAGTGTCCGCTGCAGCAGAGATGTCAGCTAGCTCCTGTGCTGGGCTCTTACTAATCCTTGGATAGGGCGCTGCAGCTGTAAATGGGCTTAAATATGCGTAAAATTTTAATAGCAGATGGAAAGCCTATTAAAAAGTCACAGCCACACACATTGCGAAGTCAACTTTGCCTTGACTTTCGCTGACATTTTCCAACCGAAAATTATTAAGCCAAATGTCACACACTCAAACCACAGCAACGCATTCACTGGCCAAAATTCAGCACAGCTTTGCGGCCGAGCAGGGGCCGGGTGAGTTTGAAGCAGAGGGTGCCCATTTTGTTTGGCTTTTCAACTTTTTCGCTGGCGTTACATGAGCCTAATTAATTTCATTCAAATGACCTCAAAAACTACTAAAATACGAAATGCAAATGCAGCGAATTTTCACAACATTTTGCGGGCAACACTTTAAAATGTCGGACACGGTGAGTGTGTGTGTGTGTAAATTTTTAGTTTTTGACTTTAAGCGTTTCAGCAAGTTGGACGCTAATGCAGTTTTATTGATTTTACATGGCGCTGGTCCCGGCTGCCACTTTGAGCTCTTTACCCTCGACTCGCGACTGATAAACGTGGCTTCATTAATATTTGACTTTGTTGTTGGCGCAGGGACATGGCCGTGGGTAGCGCTGGCTGCGAACTACTTAAGCAAACTACAGCTGCTTGATTTTTATTCAACTAGAGCTGCCAAAGCGTCAGCCAAGGAACCAATGTAAATAAACGGCAAATAGTGCGCCAAGACCCGAGTGCGGGGGCGAGGGCGAGGGCGAGTGGCATTGTTCCTTGCCTCGTCTGGCTTGTCGCACGTTTTCATTGCAGACATTGAAAAATTAACCGATATCTGTCTATGTTGCCTGACACTATGCTGTAAGCAGCAGCTCGCAGCAGATACCCTTGGAGCAGCTCCACCTCACAATCTCACATATAAAAACGCGCCGCAACAGAGGTGCCCCCAAAGAGGACACTAAAAGGCAGCATAGCGAACGCAGATAATGGTTAGAAACTAATGAAAGTTTCTATCATTTTAACATGGACTGCAAGCTATCAAGTAAAGTGCCGCAGGAATGTCGAGTGGGCCCCTTGTGCGTAGTAACCAAGGCTTATCAATCATAACAGATGAAGGATCGATTGTGACCAAATAAATAATTAGTATATTTTTAAGTAGTTTCCCGAATACCCATGTTCATCTTTTATCTGTAAACAAGAAGTATATATCAGTATATATCATTTTATCAGAAGATAAGATCCCCTTGCAACGCCTCTGCTATGCGAAGGTTCAACTAACTCCATCTACTCACTATTTTGATCATTGGCTGTCTCTTTATTCACTTCTTATTGATGTTGTTGTTGAGTTGCCGCAGTCGCTTTGGTGGCAGGATGTGTGCGTGTGTGTGTTTAAATTTATCATTGAAATGGCATCAAGACAGCGTTGTATGTTTTTTACATTTAGCACGTCTTACCAATGTTCTGCACGCTTCAATTTGCATAAATTGTTGTTGTTTTATGTGAAACTATTGCATAAGCAGTAGCAAAGGAGCTGGCGATGGCGCTGGCGTCCAGGATGCGCATCCTGATGACGCACGAAGGCTACAAAGTTTGCGACAACAGCTGCTGTCATGTGTGACGCGAACTTTGGCAATTTGACCAACGGACCACCCGGGCAACATCGGCTCTCGTTAATCCTTCATAAAAATTGATGATGATGGCAGCGAAGTTTGCCAATAAAGAAGGCTGACATATTTGTCAGCTGCTTATAAATGAACATTTGATACTTTGGCCAGATAAAGGGCTCCAAGTATGCTAATTATGTTTTTTATAACCTGACCTTGTTTCTGATTCTGTTTCTGTTTCTGTTGCAGGTGGCGTGGATGCACTTTGAGCAGTCGGCCATTTTGACGGTGCATAATCATGTGATAACGCGCAATCCGAGGATTAGCGTAACGCACGATAAGCACGACAAGCATCGCACCTGGTTTCTGCACATTAACAATGTGCAGGAGGAGGACATGGGACGGTATATGTGCCAAATCAACACGGTGACAGCCAAAACCCAATATGGCTTTGTCAAAGTTGTCGGTAAGTGAATAACTATGTGTGTGCGTGCGTTTGGCTGTGTGTGTGTGTGTGCGTGTGTGAGTGTGAACTTTGTCAGCATAGCTGACATTGAAATATTTGTTCTGGCGTGCGTCTCTCGTATCATGAACAACTCATCGCAACTTGGACACGTGTCCCTTGCATATTTCATTTCATTTGCCAGGCAAACTGTTGCCAGGTATTAGTAGAGCCAATCCCCCGGCACCGGACAAAGCTGTTTAGGCCTAGTTTTAGTCAGTAAGGCAAACAAACATACAATTAAATTCCCCACAAAACACTTTATTAAGGCAAACAAACATTGGACTCGCTCAAAACTGCCTGCTTGCCAGCTTGCCTGGCTGCCTGCCCATAAAACTATGCTTTAAAAAATTGTATTTCAACTCACACCTCGCACACCCGCACCCATTTGACATTTTAGCATGAACAATGGCATTTGAGTGTGCGTCTGTGCCTCTCCTCGGTCTATCCCAATGGTGCTGACCATAGGCGGTCGGACCACAGCATGAGCCTGGCTCGCCGGAAAATGTACGGCAGTGCAAATGTCGTCGCTTCTACTGGCATTTTTGTCAGCGATATGTGGCATGCATCGGCATCCCGAAGATTTCATACAGCAGATATATAGTAGATAAATATTGTCTCATATCAGCATGAAACTGAATTCCTATGTGAGTTACTAAACGATGGTCAATATTCGTCGATTGCAGATATTGAAAATCAATCAACTTAGTGAAGTTTAACTTTAGTTAAAGTCTGGCCAGGTATTTGGATTTTAATTTATAAACGAGAAGGAAGGGCTATCTTCGGCACGCCGAAGATTTAATACCCTTGCAGACCCAACCTTTTCATAATGCTCATAGTGCTTTGCCCGGATCTAAGAAACACAGGGAAAATAGTTAATGACAGTTAATTAACCGAGTATGGTTAAGATGTCTTGAAAAACAAACAAATTTTCGATATAACAAATTAATTTCGACCGATCGTTCCTATGGCAGCTATATGATATAGTTGTCCGATCTTAATAGGATTTTGCATATATATGAGGAGCATGGTACAACTAATAAATGCCCAGTTTGATCAAGATATCTTTATAAACAAAAATGTTTTTCATACAAGATCCTACTTTTCGACCGATCGTTCCTATGGCAGCTATATAATATAGTGGTCCGATCCAACTGGTTTTGACATATGAACTGCGTGTAACAGAAATAGGGACTTCTGCAAAGTTTCATAAAGATAGCTTTAAAACTGAGAGACTAGTTCGCATAGAAACAGACAGACGGACATGGCTATATCAACTCGGCTGTTGATACTGATCAAGAATATATATACTTTATGGGGTCGGAGATGTCTCCTTCTATGCGTAACACATTTCACGACAAAATTATAATACCCTCTGCAAGGTTATAAAAAGGGGACACAGTTGATACGTGCATATGTCATAATTAAAACTCTCATATTTTTCGTTTTATAACTTTTCTCTAATTTTCAAAAAAATATATGAAAATAGTTTCCTGTAGAGGTCTGTAAAAATTCGTCGAAAATTCTTAAAGTTAAGTCTCTATTGTTTGTTTTAAGCCCGAGACACAGAATATGATTCGGTATCTGTGGGTAACAGCAGTTGGCAAAGTGTGTTCTAGCAATTTGCATGACCCGCCCCCACCTGTCTCTTGTTCCATATGTAATACCCATAGATTCCATTACATAGTGCACATTTAAGTGCATATGTGTGTATGCCTAAGCGTTTCATGTTTACGTAGCGTTGCAGTATGCCTGACTCTACAAATTTTTTGTTTTGTTTTGCATCTTTTTTTGGTGTTCAGCCTTTTTTTGTTTTGTTTGTGCTATGCTCTCTGATAGCACTTTCAAAAAGCCGTTAAGCACGCTTCAGTGTTGTAAAATGCTCAAATAACACGCCTCACACGCACCACACGCGTGTTCTGGCAATTTGACGTGGCGTGACCAAAACGGCGGCAGCCGCTTCACGAAATTTTCTGCAATCTCGTGACTATTTTTTTTCCCTGTGAAAATATCCTCCTTTTTTTTTTGTCACAAACATACAGACAATGGTTACACTTATCTCACATATATGCACATACACACACACACACACGCTGATGTGGCAAAAGTCCTGAAAAAGGAAAATTTA